ATGCCAAAATTTCATCCAAACATCTCACAACCCTCAAATCCACCTATTTAAAGCTACGCTTCCTTATAGATGTTGGAGTCAAGTTTGTGGGCCATGGATTGCAAAAAGATTTCCGGGTTATCAATATCATGGTGACTGTCTCCTTATAAACTCTTGATAGATCTCTCTCTTTCACAGGTTAACTTCTTATAGTGAGTGAGAATAGAGCATGTGTAAAGACGGTATAGTAACAAAGATGTAACTGAACATGAGTGATATGTATGAATGACTTAATACCTTTATTTAGATTCCCTGACTTAGATTGCTATACAATTTAACATGGGCTAAGGCAGATGCACCTCTGAACATCTTCCTGAATTTTAAAGAACTTTTCAACTACATTAGAAGCTCTAGCATTGTTGAAGTCACTGAGGAATCTGAAGTCACTGTTTGCAGACACGTCTCATTTTCACAACCTGTCTTTGAATTTTATTAGCATTCTCTCCCACAGTTGCTTTTTCAGTGGACTTTCTGGTTTTTCTTTGAAGATTCTCAGAACTGAAGAAGCTTCTTGGATGAGAAGCAAAACGTCTTCAAAGAAAAACCAGAGAGTCCAGTTGCCTCTTGAAAAAGATAACCATGACCTGGATGACAGAATATCCATGGATATTTAGCTTTCTGTCATTTAGGCTCTTTCCTTGCCATGGGCAATCCCAGAGAAATGGCTGTGTTTGAATGCATTGGCTCTGAGCTCACAAGAAGCAAGGATGAGAGCCGAGGCCTTGCATAAACCAGGCACATGCTCTGATATTATGGTTTAGGCTTTGAACTACCTGCTTATACTGTTACTGAGGCCAACATCTATCAAAGAACAGGTGCTAACTATTATCTTTGGTTATTCTTGTTGCCTTTTTTCCTAGATTTGTCTCCTAGTAAACTTTTACTTCAGATGTGTTGCCAGAAGTGGTAACTGAGGGACAGTCCACTTGAAAAGCACACCCAATAGGCCCCAGCCATCAGATTTGCACACTTGTAACAAGCCTGATACTAGCCAGTAAAAACAATCATATTTTTTTGTTATTTAAATTAGAGCACACAGTGCCTGAAAACTTCGGGTCAGCTCCTGAGCCCCCCAGAAATTGCTTCCAGGCTCTTATTTTTAATATGGAAGGCACAAATTATTAAATACATCAGTAGTAATCAAAGGCAGTCAGCTAATTTGCTTTCAGTTATATCCATTACCAGATTTAATTGTTTGTCTTGCTTCCTTCTCTCCATTGGAGCAAGTGGACCTTAGGCCAAGTCTGGTTTCGATCTAAGATTAGAAGGTCTTATAGATTGAGATCTCTTCAGGGAATGAATACGTGGTTGTGTGCTAATAGGGCTATACCTGCCTCTTACAGGTTCCCAGAGATCAAGTAATCGACACCGTGTATTTGTTCCACATGCCTAGGAAGAGGATGATCTCCTTGCGCTTCCTTGCCTGGTATTTTTTGGGTCAGTACAATAATCCTGTGGGCAGTGTTAAGCTGTGCTCCTCTTCCAGTCAGCCAAGCTACCCCGCATGAAAGAATAATATAGTTGCTAAATAATTCCTCAGGTACAGTTCTCAGGAAGGCACTATTGATGAAAATGTGCAGGAACTGATATCTAAGCAAAAGCAGCTGAAACTTTAAATGCAGAATAATGAGAGAACAACTTGGAACCTGCTCAGGTAGTCGCCTCCCTAATTCCCTGAACTTTAAAACAGGAGGAGGTGCCACACAAGCAGACTTGCACAGTTTTGTTATTAAAGCCCAAATGCAATGAAAATAGTTTTATGTGGAGCTGATTTCCTGGTCCAGTGTACCTAGTAAGGCTGACTGCCCTCATGAGTTTTACAGTTTCTCAAACCTTGCATTGCAATTGAGAATGGGGAATAGGGAAGGCCTTCCATATTAGATTAATATTGGAGTCTAAAAATTGAGTTTATTTTCAACACTGACAAGAATGAGTTCTTGCCACTAACCTTAGCCTAAAGAGATTTCCTCTTTTCTTGAAACAAAGGAAGTAGGCAAGACAACATTTGCTATGTCTTTGGATTTTTCTCTCTTTTGCTTAGACCTGAAAATTCAAGGAGAAACTCATGACAGCATTGAAGATGCACGAACAGCACTTCAGCTGTACCGGAAATACACGGAACTGAGCACTGGAGGCTTGGAACCGGAGGAATTCCGGAAGGTGCTGAAGGGCCTCTACGAAAAAGGGAGAAAAATGGACTGGAAGGTCCCTGAGCCTGATGGCCAGAGCAGCCCCAAGAGTAAGTTTCTGTTGCTTGGCCTGTCGAGCACTAGCGTTCTGTGACAATCTGATATTGGACTGGGATAAATGGAAGATTCTGTATCTCGGGAGAAAAAAAATCAGACTCCTTGATAAAGGACTGGGGAGATCAGACTTGGCAGAAGTGCATTGGGAAAAAGTGTCAGGTGAACATGGGCAAGCAGTGGGATGCAGCCCCTTAAAAGGCCAGGCCAGGCCTGGCTTGGCCTAATGGAAACATGTCCAGATCATGGGATATATTTCATGACAAAAGCTGTAGTGGGTTCAGAGGAAGGCTACCAGAATAGTAAATGGTAATAATAAAATAATAAAATATAAACCACTCAGAGTTAATGCACGGTAAGACGGACAGCTGATAAATTTTACAAATAAAATAAACAAGAAATAAATAAAATAAAATAGAATGACCTGCAAATCAAGTCCCATACAGAAGAATGGAAGGAGCTGGCCATCTTTTGACAGTAGAAGAAGAGATGTTGCAAGTGATCTGACAGACATGTGGACAGCTAAATGCCGCAATGTGCAAAAGGATGTAAGCCTGTTTCTTTGCTGAAATTGAGATTGGAAAGAGAACCAACAGACTAAAATTAAAAGAAAGGAGATTTAGGCTGAATATTAGGAGGAAATACCTTATGATGAGAGTTGTTAATCAATGGGACCATCTACCTAAACCTGGACTGCAAGATTGGAACAATCTTGCTTTAGGTCACAGGGGTGTCAAACTGGCGGCCCTCAGGCCGGATGCATCAGGCTCAGGCCACACCCACCCCAGCTCTGCGAAGGGGAAAAAAATGTTGCCATACATCATGTAATGGCACAGTGATGCAGCACGTTTGACACCTGTGCTTTAGGAGATTCTTGCCCTAAGCATGGACTTGAGATAGATCATCTCCAAGGATCCTTCCAATTCAGGGATTCATTTCATTGGTTCTGTATAAAGATTCACAAATGCTTGTAACCACATGCAGGAGAGTGCATTTTGGCATACCTCTATTAGCTGTGTTTCAAATGTGATGGCTGGAAATATATGCCTTCCTTCATGCTTTTGAACCTATAAAAGTGTGTACTTTCATACAGAATATTTAAATACATGGATAGTGATAAGTGTTTATGCTTTCAGGTAGAAAGATCAAGCCTCCAGTCCTTTATATTTCACCTGCAGAGCAGAATTTGCTTAAACGATGCTGGAAAATAAAGTCTTACAGAGAGTTTGCTTTGCAACCAAGAAGGTGTATTGTTTCCCTGAAAGGCTTCTTAGGCTAAGTGGAAGATGCAGATGTGAAGCCCTTAATTTTTAAGGGTGTAAACAATACGGCCTGCATGTTGTCTGCTTCCTTTGCAATTTGGGAGGTTTTAAGGACCCCTCCTCTTTGTAGGGGTCCCCTGCAAAATTCCTTCCTTTTCCTTCGAAAAGATTCTGCCTGCTTTGGGGAGTATGCCAAGGGACATTGTACGTCTTTATCTTAAGCTTATCACAATCTTCCAGCAGAGACTGTTGGCTTTGGGCTTGGTTTCCTTTGGCCCATATTCTTCTTTCTGGTCCTAGGATGTGACTTTAGATCCTCTCTTAGATATAGTCTTGTAAGTCATTGTAAGGCTCATTCTTTCTCCATAATTCACAGGACTGTGCTGTCTTTCTTTGGCAGGTGCTGCAGTCTTCTCAAGTGTGTTGTCTCTCTGATCCACGTCACCCTACCATTTCCCTTGAGTCCCTTGAGAAGAGGACCATCCCAAGCCTGCTCCCTGGAATATGGATATCAATGGACCGGAAGATAGTGTGGATGTATAAGACAAGAAGGCACAGTAATTAATGCATAGTGGACATGAATTTGAGGGATCGGAGGATTTCTTTTGGAAAGTCTCTTGAATCTCAGGTCACATTTTAAACAACCTTGGCAAAGAGAGTACATGAGACAGTTTAGGTGCAGGCCACAGAGGGTCACGCTTCCTTTCAAAGACCTGCATGCATTCACCAACTACATGATGCAGCATCCATTAGGTGCTTAGGGATAAGCTGTTCTTGATAAAAAAAAAGATGGTGAGAAGCAACTGATGAAGTGTTTTAAGATCCTTTCTACACCTGTCAGTGTTCTTAGTAGAGCTTGCAGGAGGCCCCTGTTCTCTCTAGCTGGGAGTTGCTCCTAAAAAAACCCAGAGCTGGACTCTTACTGTCATGGAAGTTTTAATCTTTTAATCTTTTCTATATGTAAATTGTGATCAAGGTTACATAAAGACTCTATAAAAATGTTGGTGCTTCTAATGCAATGTTGCAATCCAGCCTTTTGTTTGCTTTTTGTCCTATTAATTCACAGTCATCCCATGTTGTTTCATCGTCATCTCTCTTGTCAGAGTAGTATTAATGTATCATCCTGGTTTTAATTCAGTGGAGTTGAACCTGAAGGTGGACAAGTCACCCGAGCAAATTCAGATTTTATTAATCTTACATCAAGGTTGGTCAACCTCTTTTATACAGCCTAAATTTTAGAGGAATTAAGTTTATGCGAATCTGTAACAGCATGATTGACAACCATGATGTTTTGCCAGAGCAAAAAAAAACATTTTTATTTATGTCAGGAATATCAAATAAAATATTTAAAAAATGATTTAAAAATAGAACTGTGTAAGCACCAACTAAACTTTTGCCAACCCAAAAAACTATCCAATCTCAGGAAAAACATCTCCTAGAAGACAACCAAACAATTTATCTAGCCGAATTGGTAATTTGGAGAAGAAGCTGGACAGTAATAAGAAATGCAAAAATTATAGATGATGTTTATCCTGCAGAAAACTGGAACATGCATGTACCCCAATCTCCACTGGCTTCAATGTTTAGGAACAAAAGGCCCAATGTTCCAGTGGTTTTCCTTCTTCCTCCAGGTCCAGTCCCAATCAGTGAGGGGTGGGGATCTAGCCTGAAAGCCTTCCTTTGTGAGTCCCTCAGGCCTGTTTTCTGTCCTCACTCTTATTTATCATCTACATCAGTGGTTCTCAACCTTCCTAATGCCGCGACCCTTTAATACAGTTCCTCATGTTGTGGTGACCCCCAACCATAAAATTATGGCTCGGTTCCTAAGACCATCGAAAATATGTGTTTTCCGATGGTCTTAGGCGACCCCTGTGAAAGGGTTGTTCGACCCCCAAAGGGGTCATGACCCACAGGTTGAGAACCACTGATCTACATGAAACTACTTCAATATGGGATCAGGCATCATCAGCATGCTGGTGATACTTAATACTACACCCCCACGCTACTGTGTTCAAGTGATGCTATCAAGTTCTTTGTCAAGGTTTGGAAGCAGTGAGGATCTGGATGGAAAAGATCAGACTTCAGCACAACCATTTAAGCGTCAAGAGCCTGCATGTGCCTCTTCCGAACACTGATTTGTTTCCCAGGACTCAAGGGACATTTTAGCCCTCTTTGCTTATGAAATGGTTCTTGGTTGTTTTCCTCAAGGTCATCTCCCAGATTCCTTACACAACCCAAGGAAGACTGAGTGGCTCCATCTCCTTTGAGTTCTGGATGGGTTTATCCTCTCCCAGATAGAATTGGTGCAACATTTAGGGGTTTTCTTCTTTGCTCTTGCTGGAAGAAGAGATGGCAGCCATGGCACAGATCCATCTTGCGATTATTGCCTTTTTAATAATAATAATAATAATAATATGCATCTGCCTAGTCATTAAAAAAGGATCTCTGCTTTTTGATACATGAAGCATCAGTGGCCAGTTGGTTGAAATCCATTCAGCCATCATAATTCCTTTCATCATAATAGTCATTTCCAGAACAATAAATGACTCCTTTTTGTCCTTTCAGTAATTTCTTTCCTGCCTAATTTATTTTCATAAATTATTAGCATACAAGGGAGAGCTAGTGTCATCATACTTGGCCTCCTTATTGCTCAATTGCATATTTTTAATCAGCAATACCACACACCCCCCCCCCCAGGCTGATTGGTTAAGAGACCCAAAGAAAAGTTCCCCTTAAAAAAAAACTTCTGACTCAGAGGAAGAGATGACGCTTTCTGAAAGAAGTTTTGATGGAAGATGAAAGTTATCTGAAGATGTGACTCTGCTAATTTAGCCCAGCAATTTTCCATATCTTGGAGAATTGACTCTAATCCAGGCAGATGTAAAATAGAGAAGATATGTTCTAGAATTATCAAACAAGACAGTATTTTATTATAAATTGTTGTAACAATTTGACAGTAAATAGATTGAAAGACACAAACACAATGCATAAAAAACAATTCATTCTTGAATATTATCTGCAACATAGTAACGGCTTGGTAACAATTCTGTAATAGTAAATTTCTTCTGTTGACTGAAACCCAATTTTTAGTATTTTTAGCCACTGGAAAGGGATAGAGAGGCACCCTCTGTCCTCCTTTATAGGTATTCGGTTGGTCAGGCCAGAGTACTGTTGCGCTGCTTACCATTGAGACTGTACTATAAACTTGCTTGTTTGCTAGATGTGACACAAATTGTAAAATATAAAAATTCAAAAAGGTGCACCCTCAGAATGCTGCTTCAGTGTCATCTATTCCCCAGAAGACGTACTTTACATATTCTCAGGCAGATATATGTTTATCCTGCCATAGCACAAGTACGGTATGTTACATTTCATTTGGAAGTACTCCTTCAGGCCACCTCTACCCTATGATAGATCAGAATTGTCATGATAGTTGAACAATTGAGTCCAAAGGGTGATAGGATGGACCCCTCTGATTTTATACAGCTAAGTCCACTTCATGTTTCCAGCCAGCTGTATGGAGTTACTGCTTCTACCTGCTGTCTTCCAGTTGCCTTACCTAGCAATTTTATCTAACTCCAGTTAGTAAAGGAGGGTTTTCACCACACGTGTTGCCCTACTGATGATTGAAAGGTAAAGTGGAGAATAATTAAACCATTTCTACCTTACAATTTTTTGGTGGTGTGGCTAGAGCCACATGATGTATGACTAAAACTTTCAGCCCTTCCTGTCCCATTCATCTTTTAAGAAGTAAATCTTGCAATTGGTAATCAAAACATTTTCTTTATTTAAAAGAACTGCTCCTGCCATCATAGATACAAGTATTTAGAAATGAAAAACAAGTGTAGATCAAGAGCAGCTTGGTTAAAAGCAATGATGCCCCAAGGAGGCCATAAGAGAGTACTGGTCTACTATGGATCTCTGTCGAAGGCTGGAGTAAACAATTCCAAATTAATAGAGATTCCAAGAAGATCTTGATGTGCATGATATCATTCACATTCCTCCCCCTCCCACAAGGGTCTTCAAACTTGGCAAGTGTAAGACTTGTGGACTTCAACTCCCAGAATTCCTGAGCTAACATGACTGGAGGAGGAATTCTGGGAGTTGAAGTCCACAAGTCTTAAAGCTGTCATGTTTGAAGACCCCTGATATAAAGCAATCACAGGATTTCTCTAGCACCTGGCATCTATATATATAATAAAGGGCATTTCCCTCTCATGAAGATGTGGCTCGACTGACATGGATTTGATAGCCTACAGGAAGCTTAATTTTCACAGTGGAGTAGTCTTTGCCCACGGAGTTCAGAGGAGCATAGAATATGTTGGTACGTATTGCCTTTTTTCATGGAGGATTTAGAATGCAAGAAACCTTAGAAACACTGGCTTAAAGTGACTCAGTAGTAACCTTTAAACCCTTGAGATTGTTCACTCAGTCTCTTGTTGCATCTCCAAGTATAGATGGGAAAGCCTACCCTAAAACTTTGGGGGGTGGGTTTCTGCATAATTGCCATTTAAGATGTTGAATTGCAGCTCCAGTAGCTCCAGAAAGTATTGCCAGCAGGCAGGGATGATACAGCTGTAATCCAACACAAGGTCAGCCAAAGATAGACCGTGAAAAATTAGAGGGTGGGGGGGTGTCCAAAGTTCTGTGTAAGGCAGTTTCAGGGAAGATCTGTTATTACAGTTTTTACACAGGAGAAACAGCTGCTTTCCCAGTTGCACTCAAGTGTAACGCAACTAAGCCCAGCAACCTTTTTCCTTGGTTGTGTCCTCATGACATTACAGTCATCTCATTCAAAGCTTGAGAGTGACACTTTTCTAAGTCATGTGTTGAGGAAGGGGTTTCCCCCTTAACCAGTTGGCAGATATATAAAATGCTTCATTACTCTTTATATTAGAAGCCAAGAGCTATAGGGACGAAAGATTGGCACAGGTAGTCCTCAACTTAGAACCAAAGTTACAATTGCACTGAAAAAAAGTACTGAAAACTAGTCCTCACAGTTACAACTGTCACAGCATGCCAGTAGTTATGCGATCAAAATTCAGGCACTTTGCAACTGGTATGTATTTACCATAGTTTCAGCATCCCAGGATAACGTGATCACCATTTACAACCTTCCCAGGGGGCTTCTGGTGAGTAAAGTCAGTGGGAGAAGCCCGATTCACGGATCACTATGGAAGAGTATTGGCAGATAGCCCAAATCTGCAACGATGAAGTCAGGAAAGCACTCAGAATGAACAAAGACTTGCAACACAAGTCAAAGATAATTTTTTTTTAAATTCTTTCAACATTTAATGAACAAGAAAAAAGTGAAGGAAGCAATAGGTCCACAAGAGAGAAGGTGGCAAGGAAGTAACAGGCAGCAGAGAGAAAGTATAACTGCTTAACTCATTCTTTGATTCACACAAAAAGCCCAATCTACCAAAAACATAACTGTAAAAGACAGACAAGAAATAAAAATTAAAATAAACAAGAAAATGGTTAGAGAACACCTATCTGATCTTGACATATATACATCACTGATGGGTTCCACCCCAGAGTTCTGAAAGAGCTGGCAGATGTTAATCTCAGAACCATTGTATCATCTTTCAAAAATCCTGGAACACTGGGGAATTATCTGAGGATTGGAAAAGAGCTGATGTGGTTCCCACCTTCAAAAAAGGAAGAAAAAAATAAAAACAGACCCAGGAAACTAGAGACCAATCAGCCTAACATCGATACCTGGGAAGATCATCCCACACAAAGATGTTCCCGTTTCACACAACTCATTCAACACAAACAAATCTAGTATGTGAATTTTAGTTCATTTAAGGATCAATACAATCTATCCTCCAGATGTGTTGATCTATAACAGAGATGTCAAACTCACAGGCCAGATGTGTCACGTGCTGGCTATGCCCACCCCTGTTTTAGCAAAGGGGGAAAGTCGCAATATGTCATGGGACAAAAACATGACGCCACAAGTTTGACATCCCTGATCTACAACTACCATTTTTCTCAGCTAACTGTAGTCACTGGCTGAGCTAATTGAGAAAATTAGAATTTGGATGGCAGCTGTTGAGGAAAACTGCATAAATGATAACCCATGTCCCTCATCTCAAGACCAAGTTAGATATTCTGCAAATTACAGCAGTTTGTGTTTCTTCCATTGTACGGCTGTTATGATTTCTAAGATCCCACCTTTCATTTCAAAGTAACTCTATCCGTTAGTAGCAATAAAAGTTTCCTTCCCCTAAAATGAAATATACCTTTGGGCAAAAAGATGCTTGTTTTCTGATATAATAATTGTTTATTAACATTCTGAAGTCTTCCAAACCTACTGAATGTGATTAAGAATAAAATCTTGACCTCATTAGAGCTCAGAAGGTTTTTTTGTAGAAATAAAGCTGGTGTGGGAATCAAAACTCTTCTCCTTACTGACCACAGGGAGTTTCATTTGCATTTCTGCATGTTTCCCAATAAGAGGATAACAGAAAGTTACTTCTGAGTAAAATGAGGCATTTTCTGGAACAAGGAAAAAAAACAGTTCAAAAACTACCGTTAAGTTAACAAGCTATTTTTACTTATGGTTAAAAAAGGAAAGAAAATAATGTTGTTAGATACTAGGCTAAGATGTAGCTACTGGGTAGGCTTAAATTTATTAAATGTTTTTAGAGCTGTAACTTCAGCTATTCTTAGAAATAGGTTTTTGGAGGTATTTGGAAAGGTGGTCACTTACAGCTATTTTGTAACTGACCACTTTCTCTAACATTTCAATCCACCCCAACCCAACTCATTCCATATCTCATCTTTTAACAAATAAAGGTTCAATGTTTCATCTTAATCAGCAAAAGTCCATTACCAGAAATAACAACATATGCATTTTAGCCTTAATCAAATCAATTTCATATTTGTTTCATTTGTTGATCATTTTCTGTAAAGATACAACAAAAAGGTATCTTCTACCCATATCTCATGTCTATATACAAATCTTTAAAACTTTGTCATTGAATTAATCAAGAAAATATTAAAATCTCTCAGAAAATAGTTTGAAAATCTTAATCTTTAATCCCTTCAAATAGTGATTTATAAATTCATTTATCTTTTCTTCATCATCTCTTAAAAACTCACAAGTTTTACACTTTGTTTCAATTTTAACACCATAACTTATCATAACATTCTCTAAACATACAACCAAAAAAAATCACCTCTTCCCATAACTTACCTATAAGCAAATGCTTAAAGTCTCATCATTAAATCCTGGTCATGAAAAACCCATTAAAACGTCAAACAAAAATTACAAATTTGAACAAAGAAAATAGAAAAATCAAAATATGATTGGGATGATAGGCACATTAATGCCTTACACATGCCCCTTAGGGACCTGTTAAATATGAAGCAAGGTCCACAGAAGTTAGAATTAAAACTGTGAAAGTTAACGGCTGAGTCAAGGGAATCAGGTAAGATATTCCAGACCGACAATTTGGTTACAAAAATTTATTTTTTTTACAAATTGAGTTTAGAGCGGTGTACATTAAATTTAAAGTGGTTGTTTGCACATATTACATTATGATTAAAGATATAAAAGTCATTTACAAGTAAAGCGTTACTGTGTACAATTTTGTATGCAATACTTGACTCTGACCACAAGTGTCACAGTTCTAAACTATCCAAACCAAGAATTTCAAGCCTAGTAGCATAAGGTATTCTATTATGGACAGAAGAATACAAGAATTTTTTCTTGTAAATACTTCTGAACTTGCTCAATTGTATTAATGTCTGATATGCAGTAAAGATTCCAGATAGTTTTAACCTTGATCAAATAAGCCAACACTCTATTCCTACTTTTGCTTTCAATAGTAAAAAAAAAAATGGAAAATCAGTTTTTGGGACATACTTAAAAGGAATAAAGTAGTGTCTTAAAAGTTGATTTTTCATTTTTTTTTCTTTATCTTTTCTCAGGAAGTCCTTCATAAGTACAGTATAACAAATCTGTTTTGTATGTCCAAGGTAAGAAAGTTATCCAAGGCACTCTTGTAAGTTGAAAGCCACACATCCAAGTCACTGCATGCATTATCGGCATGTTACTTTTAAGTCATTAAAACATCAGCCAGTTCCAGTTTTAAGTCCTGTGTCACGTCTTTGTCCATATTGTTCATAGTTTTCTTGATAAAGAGGGAAGTCATTTCTTTAAATATATTTTTCTTTATATTTTTCCTTCCTCCTTTTTTTTCTCTCTGTACTTTTTTCTTTTTCATAATCTTCTTCCTTTGTGTTAGCTTTTTATCTTCCTAATGATAATCTTAATAAAATATTATTTAAAAAGAAAAGAGTTATTCTGGAAGGGTAATGGTGAATGATTTGATTCAGGGACTATTTAATTTCATTTGATGATGTTATTTTTGTTTTTATTGTTTTTTTAATTCGTACTGGGATTAGTTTGTATGCCTTGGTTTGTATGGCTTAACAGCTATACACCAATGAAATATACACATTTGCATCAGATACAAGCAGGTCATAATTTATATAATCAATAAAAAATTGAAAGGACAGGTAGGGCTGAAATTGGTTAAGTTTACTTGTTCCTGCTTTAGAAAATTATAGAGCACAAAAATCCATAGATGGTATTATTCTCTTCTTTTCTTTGTACTTATTGAATGGTATCAATGTTATTCATCCAGCCATTTCTACTAATATAACACAGGCAGAACCATATTTAATAGCTCTAGTACCTTCAAGATAAGATCTGTATGATTCGCCACTTATATATACTAATGAGATAGGCCAGGGACCAGTGTAATTCAACATTCTATATTAGAGCCTTATAGGAAGGCTTCAAGGTGAATTTGAGCACTCTATGCCTCTCCAACCAAGTCTGCTTATACCAGTACAAGAAATGTGATCTGAATCTGGCAATTATGTACAGTCATTGTGACTAATATTTCAATGTTCTACAAATTTGCCTGGTCCTCCTCAAAATTATTTTAAGGAAATGGCTATGCACAAATTGCATGGCAATCACAACCATCTTCATTCATTCATTCATTCATTCATTCATCATTCATTCAATCAGGATCCAGATTGTTGGGGGCAATATGCTGATTCCACAAACCACTTAGAGAGGGCTGTAAAGCACTCCGAAGTGGTATATAACTTATAAGTACTATTGCTATTCTTGTCTATGTAGCTATTCAAGTTCACGGGGTAGCAGGATAATACTGTATATCACTGTATATACCCATGATGGCGAACCTATGGCTGTGTGCCACAGGTGGCACGCAGAGGCATTTGTGCTGGCACGCGAGCCGCAGGCAAACTTACCTCACTGCACATGCATGCACTTCA